GCCCAGAAAATTCCCGTGCTTTCTCCTCTATCATCTTCATTGGGTCTACAGTGTTACCCTCAAAGTCACAAGATGACTGCCATAGTTCTGACCGTTACATAGGCCTAAGTAGTCAAAGTATAGAGGCCGTTCCACTCCTGATGCCTTCCATAGGAAGAAGGCCTTTCCTGGAAGTCCCTCTGAAGCCATACCTGAAGAGGCTCGAAACTGGGACAGAACTAATGTTGAGGTCACGGGGATCAGCTGAGTCCCAGGGTGTGGGTTTGGGGAAGGGTGAACCTCTGAGAAATGGCAGCCCTCTGTCATCAAGCATTGAAGGAACAGCTCTTGCTTTGGTAGCCCACAGAGTCTGCCACAATGGCTCTCATGACACACTCGAGTGAGGTCTTAGTAGCTTGTGGTCTCAGGGGAGGTAGCCATCTGAAAATCAATGAATGCTTGGCTTGTGTCCCTAGGGGGGTGGCATTCAGAGTCGAGGGGTGGATGAGTGCCACCTCTGTGTTGGCTGGGTCTGTGTGGCATGTATACGTGACATATCAAGCGCCTGGGCTGGAGAAATGCTGAAGCTGTCCTTGAGAAGGGGCCAGGCTGGCGGGGCATCCAGATGTACATTTACAGGAAAGGGAGCAGAACAACTGGGTGTTTAACCTGAGAAGGCCTGGAGGTTCCCCTCTGTCTAGAGAGCCATGTTAACTTGTTTGGATGACGTCATCTGCCCTCCAGTGACAGCCTCAAAGCAGTTCTTGTCACAAAGGAAGGAACATGTAATGGTCCTTGGAGCTGCCATGTAGTGGTGGAGGGACCACCCAGGGTCCTATGGGCTGGGTCTGCTAAGTGGGCTAAGTGGCAAAGCTGGCTGAGGTGCCGTGTGAGGGCTGAGCTCAGCCCCAGTTCCTAGAGGACGCATCCTCTAACTGCTGGGACCTCCTTTGGGAAGGGCCAGAAAGGCATCTCTACATGCCCCTGGCAGGTAAGTTTCTAGAGCTTCCTTGTTGCTTGTATTAAGGCAGAACACAAATTTTCACTTACAGGAGGGGTGAGAACCAGAGCAGGCCAAAGGGTTGCAGGTCCTGGCAGATTCCCTGCCCTTGGGGGCAGCCCTGCTCTTCAGGGTTTAACTTCAGTGTCCCAGGCCTCCTAGAACTCCAGTCTGATCCTGAAGTGAGACCACAACACTCCATGGCTGTGGACGACCCCGTCACAGGTGCTCTCTTCCTGGGAGCAAGAACCATGGCAGATGAAGATATGCAGAGGTGGCTTGGGTCACACGCTGGATCTTTGTCCCTTCCTGCTGAGGGCAAGGACTGTTGGCTGGACATCCCACTGACCTTGGTCCAAAGTCCAGAGCACAGGGTGAAGTAGGTGAAGAGTCCCTTACTCTCTGTCCCTGTTGACCAATGACTTTTGGAACTGTGTCCACCTGGATCCTGCCTAAGCCCGGGACCTCTCCAGCCCTCTGAGAAGCTGTAAACAAGGGGGCACTGGCTGTCTCAAATCTTCCAGGACATGACTATTGTCCTGGCCCAGCACGGCAGTCACTGAGGGGACATTTTAGGCTCTGCTCAGTGCTTCTGATACCAATTTCTGTGACCTTGGTCACATGGCAAGACCTTGGCCTTCCTGATAAGGGTGTTAATTCATGTTTAACTTACAATGTGGTCCTTGTGGTCAAATGCTGTCAATGTGAACTCTCTTCGTGCGTGTGTCACTGGCTAGAGGGGATCAAAGAGACCAGTGTCATCACAATCCCACCCACGAGTCCTCTATGCAGCTGGGCGACAAGGGGGATGTGTGTGACTCTCCTAGTTTGTCCAGATGTGATGTAAATTTCCAGCATCAAAGTGACTCAACTCCAGGATTAGCACTTTCCTCCAGTCAGAAGCAGAGGATCCAGGGTCCTGTGTGTGTGTGTGTGTGTGTGTGTGTGTGTGTGTGTATAGGTGTATGTGTTTATGTGTGTGTATGTGTACATGTGTATAGATGTGTATGGGTATGTGAGACTATTTGTATGTATGGGTGTGAGTGTGTATATGTATGTGTGTGCACGTGTGCATGTGCACGTGTGTGAGTGTATATGCATGGGTCTGAGTGTATATATGTGTGTGCACGTGTGTATGAGTATATATGCATGGGTGTATGTATGTGTGTGTGCATGTGTGTGTGCATGAGTACATGTGAGTGTGTGCATGGATGTGAGTGTGTATGTATGGGAAGACAAGCCAGGACCTGTGGCTACTAACCCTGGCTGTGCCATTGTCTTGCTTCATGACCTTGAACTTATTATTTCTTCACTGTGAACCCAGTTCCTTTCCTCTGAAAGGCAGGAGCTGGCCCTCTAATCTAGGGACCCATTCTCCATATCCGTTGGCAAGAAGGGGAGGGGCATCTAGAGGGCTGCTGTTGCCACATCACAGGAGGACACTGAGTCCACCTGAGACTGGGCTTGTGAGGTGGCGTGGAGAGGGAGCCTTGGTCTCATACTCCTCAGTGGTCGAGCTTTTTCTGAAGACCGTGGCCACTGCTAGGCAGTGTCCAATAGGATGAGCTGAGGATACATGTTTTATTCATGCAGCCATTAGCCTGGGTCCCAGGCTCCCCTGTGCTGTCAACTCACTGCCTGGTTTTGGGCCAGTGTGCTGCTCTGAGCCTCTTTTGACTCGGTCCATAATGAGCTTTGCTTGTGTGTTTCCTGTCGCTGCAGCTGCCAGTTACAGATGGATTACAAATTATTTAAGCTGAATTTACTTGTTTATTCATTCATTCACTGAGGACCTTATGTACCCCAGGTTGGCCTTAAACTTGCTATGTAGCTAAGGATGACCTTGAACTCCTGATCATCCTGTCTTTACCTCTCAAGTGCTGGGATTATAGGTATATGCTGCCACCTTTATGCAGTGCGGGGGGGGGGGGGGGAATCACCGGGCTCTGCATGCTGGGCAAGTATCTACCAACTGAACCTATACTTCCTTTAGAATATAGTGGGGGACAGGAGGGAAAGATGAGACCTATTTTTCTATCAGTGAAATTGTGACAGCTGAGCAGGTCCCAAAGTACACTGTAGGATATGGGGTGTGAGGAAGCGTCAGGCAGACAGAAAATGGTGTGGATCGAGTTGAGTGGCACCGGCTTACCTAAAACTAAGCAGTGTTTTTGCTGCAGGACCTCTTAGAACCTTTACTACAGTAAGAATTGTGTGCATTTCCAACAGTGGGTGATGTGCGCAACCTTCTACCAAATTCATTTGACCAAGAACTACCCTTCTCTTCCCTTTCGGTGTTTTGAGACAAGCTATTGGCAGGTTGGCCCTAAACTCATGTCAGTCTTCCTGCCCTCGCCTCCTGCACTAGGGATTACAGGTGTGAGTCACCAAGTCCAGCTAAGCACCTGTCCTGTGAGTCACCTGCTGCATGCTTAGACAGGAACTGTCGCTGCATCCCTCTTTTTTTCTTGGCTCCCAGGAAACTTGTCCCCACCGATGCTCGCCCAAATCACCTGGCTGGAACTTAGGACCTTTGTTCCCACTCCCTCTCCGGAGTAGGTTTGCAAGGTCTGTTTTCCCCGTGCCTTTTGGTTCAGGTAGACTCAGAGGCGAGGAAGACAGGTTGGCAATGTCTGCACATGTGAAGATCCTGTATTAGTGCTGAGCTCTGGGTGGGGGTGGGGCTGTGGGTGGGGCCGGGATGCAGGTCCCCTCTGGGAATCCCTGAAACATCTGTTTGTGGTAGCTTTGCCCAGGAGATGTTGAAAGGAGGGCAAGAGCCATCGTGCTTGTGTCCCAAAAGTACTGCTTAAGAAAGTACAAGTGACCTCGCGCTGGCCCCCACTGGCCTCCGGAAGGCCCCACTTCTGCTGACACTGCATTTCATAGAACTGAGAGAGGCAGGAGCTTAGGCCTTTGAGCCCTGCTTGGCATGTTAGGAGTAGGTGCACCAGGGTTCTGCTTGCGTACCGGAGGGCAGCAGATTGCCAGTGGACAAGTCCTAAGACCTTGGAGTGGCCAGAGGTGCATCATACGGAGGCTGGAGAGGTCACAGGTTTTACCCAATTTTTTCTTTGAACCCAGAACCTCCCCCACAAATATGTCCCTATCTCTCTTCAGTTGGTCTAAGTGGGTAGAGGGGAAGACTAGGGAAGGGTGTCCTCGGCCCCAGGTCCTTGTTTCTCTGGTGCGTGTCATTCCGAGGATCGCAAGCTAAGGGTGGGTAAATCGACAGAGTGGGTCACGGCTGGCATTTATACAAGGAAGTGTGTCGGGGGTGGTTGTGAGTCATGATGTGGGGAGAGATTGTAGTGCCAGAGGTTTTACTATGGTTCATGCTCACAGCCTGGAAGCCATTGGCTAGTTGATTCAGGTACTTTCTACATATCTGTCTGAGACTCGGAGGTCCATTCCCAAGCCTGAGGTGTGTCCTTCTAGATGCTGAAAAACATACCCTAAGGAAAAGTACTTGTGATGTGCCCCTTTGGAAAGTGATTTTGTGTGTGTGTGTGTGTGTGTGTGTGTGTGTGTGTGTGTGTGTGTGTGTGTGTGTGTGTATGGCCACTGGGGGGCAGTGGTCTCTGCTGAAGGAGGGCATGTCACTCCTGCTAGCTGGGTTATGACTCTGCAGAGCACGTGAAGAGGGAACAGGGGTAAACCCCCAGCTTTGCTTCTTATCCTCGGTTGCCATTCATGGCTGTGTGACCCAGGGAAAGTGACTTGCCCTCCTTGGCCTCAGTTTACCTATGTGCAGAGGGGAGGAGGGGGCCCAGTCATTTCTAAGGTCCTGTTCTCATGGTCTGTTCCAGGATGACATTGGAGAGATCTGGATCTTTTGAGAAGCTACCAAGGGAAGCCAGGGTTGACTCCTGGGTTTCTACACAAGGCTCCAAAAGCAGTCTGATCAGCTCAAGGAGAATCCAGCACACACGTTTGTAGGCACTGGTGGGGCAGGGTGAGTGAATGACTAGGCAGCAATTAAGGGGACCAATGACAGAGGAGAGGGAACCAGAGCCTGGTCTCCATGGACAGCATTTATTAGGCGCCATTCTCAGTGTGAAGACAGATGGGCAGGAGCTGCTGAGGGGCCAGGGCAGCCACAGCCTGGGGACTTAGGGGCTGCCCGGGTGGGTGTGGGGCATGTCACCCACACATATTGCATATTCTGTGGCAGTGTGCCCAGGCATAAGGCATTGGGGAAGCAGAAAGGCTGCCTGCAGTGGGAGGGGGTGAGACAGGAAGTGACAGTGGCCTTCTAGTTCCCTAGGCAAGACCCTACAGGAGACAAGCGGTCCCCCATGCTCAGACCCCTAGGGCCACTCTGCTGCCTTCCCCACCCTCTCTGTAACTTTGGTTGTGGCTCCCTCGGATCTGACGGGACTTGACCCCTCGAGGGCAGGGTCACACACAGGACAGAGGCAGCGAGCGCCACCTCTGGCCCAACATAAACACAGACAGCACCTCTCCGGCTCCTGGGTCCCACTCTCCTTGGCACTCGGGCCAGCTCTTCCAAATGGACACGGGATACACATAGGTCAGATTCCTTCCACCTAGGGATCTCCAGGGCCTGGAGGACATGGTGTGGCACTCTTTCTAGGATCCCACATGATCAGGCTGGCCTTACTCAGCAGTGTGGAGCTAGGCCTGGGGACAGTGAGTGGAAGGCAGCTGGGGGGGGGTGTTCCCTTCCCCCTTTTCCTGGGGATGAAACTCAGGGCCTCAAGCACACTGGGAAAGTGCTTTACCTCTGAGCCATACTCACAGCCCCACACATACCCTTCTGTTGGCCTGGGCTCTATCCCATCTCTAGCTTGTCCTCAGGAGCAAGCCAACAGTCTGCCACCCTCCACCCGGGTTGTAGGTGGATAACACAGAGGGCACACCGGGTCCTGTAACACCTTCTCTCTCCCAGAGGAGTGTTCCTGGCTATAGTGGAAGCTGTACTCTAGCAACTTAGGATGCAGGTATCCACCCTGGTTTCTAGTCCGGGGATAATGTCCCAGGATATACCTGCCAGCTGTCTGGGCTGCTCTGCCCAATCCCTGAACTCTCAGAGTTCCAACTCCTGACTTTTAGTCCATGAGACTCGGTCCTGCTTACCTTGGTCCCATGGACTTCCCTGCTTGTGAACAGAGACAAGAGCCCATTTAGAGCCACAGTCTCTGGGCTAAGAGTAGCAGAGGCAGAGCCATGGCAGGAAGGCTCTGACTGGACCTTTTGATTCAGGTTTAAGCCCAGCTGCCTACACAAGGCCAGGGTGCTGCCTGCAGGGGCTTTGCTTCTGAGAGCAGGCTGGACCAGAAAGAAGAGCACTTGGGCTGGGAACAAGCCTGCAGGTCCTTGTTCCCCTTCAAGACTTGCATCACCCTGGGCAAGTAATTTTACCTGTTTTCCTCTTCTGAAAAAAAAATGGCCATAAGAGCTGCCCAGGTGACCTGACCAGAGTGTTAGTACACTCAGATGAATGAGTAGGTAGGACAGGGTTTCCGGTGCTAAAAATCACTATAAATGGAAGAGGAGGTGAGCAGCAGCAACAGCCAGGGCCAGACAGCAAGCCGGAGTGTGTGTCAGCTTCCAGGGGCAGTCCTGAAGGCTCGAGTCTCACAGGAGCCCTGAGCATGTCGTCAGACTCCAGGTAGCTCACCTAAGGATGCTGCCACCCTGCAGAGCCTCTCTTCTCTCTGCTCTCACTCCTGTGGCCATTTTTTCCCCCTGCCCTGCCCTCTGGGGACTAGCTTTAGGGACTGCTGGGATTTCCTTTTTTTCTTCCATAACTGCATAGCCATGCAAAGAAACCTGACAGAAGGTAGTGGAGGGCGGGCTGGGAGACTCGGCTGGGGATGAGAGAGCGAGGCGGGACTGAGTGGGGGTTGACCTGGACAAAGACACCGTGGGCTCTGGAGAGCCCGGGGGAGGTATAAGTAGAGATGAAAAAAAAAAAAGAAGAACAAAACAAAACCAGAAAACAAACAAAAAACCGAGAACAGAAGTCCCCTCGGGAGGTAAGGGTTCTGGGTCCCAGCAGGGCCTCTGAGGACTGGGGAGCTTCTCAAATTTCCGAAAGGCTCCCAGTGGCTGCTTTCCCACCTCCCCACCTCCCAAGTTTCACATTTCTCGGAATTCGTCAGGCTCTGATCGGGGGCTCCAGGGGTCCTCAGAGCCCGGCTTCCTGCTGGCTGGTGCAAGCCTGCACAGTTGGAGATTAGGGCTGGGGAAGAGTAGAGGTTGTGGTGGTGGTGGTGGTGGTGGGCTGGGGACTTCCCACGGGGCCCGAAGGCGTCTTTGGGGGGGTCCTCCTGGTCAACTCCTGCGGCTTCTGCAGGCGGGACCTCCACCCTGCTGGCTCACGGGTGCTGCAGGCCTGGCTGTGGTTCACACCGAGCTTCTGCGCTTCATGAGGCTGCGGAAGGTAGCCAGGCTGTGCAGGCCCGTGGACACCGAGCTGATGGCCGAGCGCTGCGTCCCGCTGCACAGGCAGGGGTGCGAGGGCGTGTCACTGTAGCGACCACCACCTCCCGGCGATGAGTGACTGTGCTCCACGCACGTGTCGGACGTGGAGAGGTCCCGCGGGATGATCATAGGGATGGAGTACTGCATCTTCTCGCGGCTCTTGTACCAGAGGCACGAGCACATGGACTGGAAGTGCAGCACCTCGGCGTAGACATTGTGGAAGCCGCTGCCACCCACGCCCATGCCACCCGCCGCTGCCGGGCACGTGACTGGGTCGCGGGGACGCACGCTGTCGCTCAGGCTACCGCTCAGGCAGCTCAGGCCACCCAGGCCACCCGCCTGACCGTTGTGCGTGAGCAGAGCGCGATGCTCCGCGTCGCGCTTCTCGTCCTCGGCGTTCATGGTCATGAATCGCAGCACCACGAGGTTGAGGAAGGCGCCGATGACCGTGAGGCCCGTGAGGATGTACACGAAGCTGAAGGCCACGTACTGCGGCTGCGTCTGCAGCGCTTGGTCCTTCTGCAGCGCCACGTAGTCGCCGAAGCCGATGGTGGTGAGCGTGATGAAGCAGTAGTAATAGGCCTGGAAGAAGGTCCAGCGCTCATAGTAGGAGAAGGCAGCGGCGCCAATGCACAGCGTGCTGATGCACGACACGAAGCCGATGAGCACCATGTTGGCCATGGACACCTCGGCATGCCGCATGCCCAGCCCCCTCTTGGCACGATGCAGCAGGTACCTCACCAAGGTATTGATGCGCTCACCTAGGCTCTGGAACATGACGAGCGTGAGCGGGATGCCTAGCAGTGCGTAGAACATGCAGAACACCTTGCCGCCGTCCGTGCTGGGTGCCGCGTGGCCATAGCCTGTGAGAGAGAAGAAGAAAGCACACACTGTGGAGCTGGCCTGGTGTGGGGGGGTCCCTCCTCCTCTGCCTGCCCCCTTCCCTCCCCACCATGCAGGTTCTCGACCTGCCTCCCCTACCACACTTCTTTCTTTGCGAGATACGGAGCCATGGATCTCTCACTATGTAGATCAGGCTGGCTGTGAACTCACATTGATCTTCCCGGCTCGGCCCTCCAAGGGCTAGGGTTACAGGCATGCACCACCGCGTCTGCCACTGCAGCTGGCTGCTGAGTCTGCCTTTCAACGCAAAGGCACATCCCATGGCTTTGGGCAACAAACCCTTTGTTCCTATCACCGGAAACACTCAGACGATAATCCCAGAAGGCAGAGAGGACTCAGTGGCTTTCCAGGTCACCCTGTTGGGAAGTTTAGCAATCTGAGTTTGAACTTGAATCTGCTGTCTTATAAACATGAGTGCCTCATGCCTCTGGCGGGGAGCTGGCTGCTGGCGCTTGCTGGGAAGTTTATCCACGGGGCAGCTGATGTGTGGGAATGGCAGTCAGGCCATTGGGAACTGGCTTCCTGTGGAATACCTGCGGGCTGTGCCGTGCTCTCCGTCCTCCGTGGGCCTCAGTGCCCAGGGCTATGTGGGGAAGCGGTTGGATGGAATGATTTCTGACGTGGTGACTCAGTGTGGAGGGAGGCAAACTCAGGCATGCAGGCTTCTCTTCTTTTCTTGATGGTTTCCCTGCTGCAGCCAAAGCTTATGGGGTGGGTGGGGTGGGGTGGGTGGCCACCACTGGGAACTTGCAATTTTCCTGGGCAGCTGGCCTAGCGGGTGCCTTCCTCACCACAGTTGAATTAGTAATACTCCAGGTTTTCCGAGCTGCCGGGGACCAGGGTCTTCCCATGGGACTTGGTCCAAAAGTAGGCTCTGTCCCTGTGAGGGTGGGGCATTGCCCTTGGCAAGCCAGGGGTCCTGAGTGTCCTTCGGTGTGGGCCTATCACCAGCTCGACCATCTCTGTGGTCCTCTCCTCTTCTGCGTCTGTCCTCCATGTTTGCACACGTACTCTTCCCATCTGTGAGCCAGGCAGAGTCAAATCTGCCCCTCTGAGCTGATTGTCAAATGACCATCAAAAATTCTGCCCGGAGCTGGGTGTAGCGGTGCATGCCTGTAACCTCAGCCTGTGTGAGACTGAGGCAGGAGAGTGAGAGTTTGAGAGGCAGTCTGGGCTGCAGAGTAAACTCTTCTCAAAACAATAACTTGCCAGGTGGTGGTGGTGGTGCATGTCTTTAATCCCAGCACTCGGGAGGCAGAGGCAGGTGGACCTCTGTGAGTTCCAGGCTAGCCTGGTCTACAGAGCTAGTTCCAGGACAGGCTCCAAAGCTATACAGAGAAACCCTGTCTCAACCTCCCCCCCACCAATAACCCCCCCAAAACAATAACAGCAATAATAAAATCTTCTTGGCTATCTCGAGGAGGTGGGGGGCGGACCTTGGATGGGAACCAGCAGCCATGGGTACAAGTTCTGACCTTATTACTCATGTTTTTGTGACCTTGAAGAAGTGAGTTTCTCTCTTTGATCATTCATGTCTCTTTATTTGAAAATGAAATCTTATGTTCTGGCCACTTGCTTCTCCCGTCAGACCAGTGAGCATAAACACTTTAGCTTTTATGAAGATAATTATGAGAACAGAAGAATGTGGGCAGGTTTCAAGTTTTCCTCTTTTCTGAGTCTTAGGAAACCTCAACCAAACACTGCTTCTTCTAGGCAGTCTTCCTGGATTATCGGTGCTTTATTTGGGTAGTGCTGAGAAGGCTCATCTATACCTTCTAGTGCCCTCAACTATATAAAACTAAACAGCAACTTGTGTTGGGGGGGCCCTGTGAACCTATAAAGGTCCTCTCTAACTCCCTTCTAAGGGAGTCCCAAATACACTTCATGACTACGTTTCAGTCTGGGATATTATGAGCTTTGCAAGTTTTTCACATCTGTAAAATGGGTCTAATATGTCACTTGCAGCAAGGGTTTTGGAGGGAGTAAATGAGATAATGTATGTGATGCACTTAGCCTAGAGCCTGGTACATCTCAAATACCCAACGACAGCTCACCGATTAATAATGAAGGAGGTGGCAGAACACTCCTGTGTTTCCAAGAGGCCTCCAGGTTTGGGAGCAGACCTGCTCCAGCAGAGCCACCCGTGCCAACCTAGGGCTACCAGAATCCTACAGCTCAGAGAGGTCTGGGAGCAGATGTTTGGGGTGTGAAGGCTCCAGGACTGTCCTTAGCATGGCTCCCCTGCCCCAGTGTGGCATCTAGCCAGTGGCTGTATTCCTTCTTCTTGTGCAGCTGAGCAGTTGGGCCACGGTGCCTGGCCCGTGCTCATCCAGCAGTGTGAGACCAGATTGTACTTGCCAGTTAGGCCCCACAGCCAGACCACGACTCACCTTAACAGCCACGCAGCCAAACAACCACCAGCTAGAGCGGCTTCTTGTCCTGTTCTTGTCTGTTCCCCAGACAAGTATCACACACTGTATGGACCCCACACTCCACCCCAGACAAGTATCACACACTGTATGGACCCCCCACTCCACCCCAGACAAGTATCACACACTGTATGGACCCCCCACTCCACCCCAGACAAGTATCACACACTGTATGGACCCCCCACTCCACCCCAGACAAGTATCACACACTGTATGGACCCCCCACTCCACCCCAGACAAGTATCACACACTGTATGGACCCCCCATTCTACCCCAGACAAGTATCACACACTGTATGGACCCCCCACTCCACCCCAGCCATGGCACTGGGGGCAGAGCCCCACAGGTGGTGCAGAACAGGGGTATGGCCCCAGCTGTGTGACCCTGGGCTAATCTCTTTCTGTCTCTGGGCTCATTTGCCTTGTCTGCTATTCCTATCAGACCTGCCTCAGGGAGTAAAGGAGACAAATTCTTGGGGGAGTCTTCTGGAACCTGTGGAGTGAACAGCTGGGAGGGGCCCTTGAGAAAGCACCTGAGAGCAGGCCAAGAAGCAGGGCCCTGTTGGGGAACCATCAACAGCCATCACTGGAGGAAAGAACCCTTCTAAACCCCACTTGCACCCCTTACCAACTCGCCCTGGGTTCCATTAAAGGCCACAGCTTTTCAGGAGAACTTAGTGCCCACAAAACGGCCTCCTGCCCCACACTGCTGGCTATGGCCCCCAGGCCCTGCCCTGGATCCTCACTTGGCACCCAGAGGTGCTTCTACCTCCTCCACTCAGTGCTTTCCCCCTTCATCCTTCTGCTCCTGCCCAGCTCCCTATCCCCCCGAGGGGCAGTACTCAGAGCCTAGCTCTAGCCATAAGTAGCACCCCCAGCTTGGTGACTCTTAGATCGGGTGACTCATCCAGGCCTGACCCAGAGGTTCCTACCAGGGGCAGAGCCAGTGCCTGACCTTGGTGGCGGATGGCCAGGCTGGCCCTCTCTCCCTATCACAAGTCAGGGTCACGAATCAAAAACTCTTGCCCTTGGGATAATTTAACTTTGCCCTCACAGACATCCCTCCCCAAGGTTACTCCTGTGGCTGACTTCTGTTTTACAGCTGGGATCGAGATGTTTGGGGGGGTGCTTTTCGAGGTGACTGTGTCTGCTAGTCATTCCTGACTGTATTCATGCCACTGCCATGTCGAGAAGGGAAACTGAGGCTCAGAGGGACATGCATTCCATGTGAAGCCTCAGCCAGAAGAATACAAGTGAGAATGGGAGGGTGCTGCCTAGGAGATGTCCTAGAGACGGACGCTATGCTATTCGTCTTTGGGCAGAGGGTGAGCATGCCCATCCCTTTGTCTTGTTGTCACTAGGTGAAAGGGCAAGGGAGCCATGAGGACCTGCTGACGTGGGTGCTAGCTTGGAGGACTGCCAGCTAGGGTGGAGCCAGTCCCAGGGGACCCTGGGCTTCTGGGAAGTCACCGGGAGTTTGGCCAACCCTGTCCCCCTGCAGCAGGGCGGCATCGTGCCTAGTTTGGCTTTGCAAGGGGGAAGGTAAAAAGAGTTACCCGCAGCTGCTGCCTCCAGTCTCTGGTTGGGAGGGGCTCTGCTATTCCCTCTGGGTACCAACACACACAGGGGCTACTCTCTGGGGCTGATTCTTTGGGTGCCCTCTCCCAGTACCTGCTGGGCCAAACAGCCAGAGCTCATATCCTGAGCACAGGCTCTAGTGGTCACCCCTCTGAGCACTCACCAGGTCTGTCCCTGTCTCCTGCTCTCCCATCTCCTCCTCTCCCTGTCTCCTCCTCTCCAAGCTCATTCCCCCCCCCACCCCCCCATCTCCTCTTCTCCCTGTCTCCCATCCTAATGTTAATACAGGTTCTTAGTAATTATTTGATGAGGTCCTTGGGTTGTGTGGATCAGCCACAGAGGAGCAAAAAGGAAAATCACCCTGTTCAAGGCCTCCAGCTGGTAAGTGACATGACCAGGCTTTAGGCAAGGATTCTTGATTCTAAAACCATGCTCTGGCCGCGGCTGAACATGCTCAGGTGTGACCGAAGCTCTGTCCCCTCATTTGGTCAGGGCTGGCGACTCAGCGAGTGAAGCAGATTCACTAAGAGGCGGGTCTGAGACTGACTAGAGGCACAGAGGCCACCAGGACCAGCAAGATGGCTCAATGGATAAAAGCATTTGCTGCCAGCCCCGATGACCTGAGTTTGATTCCTAGGACCCACGTGGTAGGAGGAGAGAACCAACTCCCACAGGTTCCTCTGAGTCTACATACAAGTTCTATACATACACCATAGAATACACACACACACACACACACACACACACACACACACACACACACACACTAATAATTTTCTTTTAAAAACCAATTCAACTGAAGACTTAAATGTTAATTATTAGTATAAAAATTTTAGGAGAGCAAGAAACTAAAAGATGGCGTCAGGCCTCTGTTCTCTTTTCTTCCTGGTGTTAGGGACTCAGACACTGGCCGTAGCTCTGGCTTCCAGAGACCTGTGGGGCATGGAAGGGTTG